TTTCAGTCTCAATTCCATCCACTGTCTATGGGACTTAGGAGTCTAAGTGCCTAAATACTACTGAAAGTGATATGTATGCTCCTAAATTAGTTAGGCATCACAACCCTGAGCACAGTACCACTTAAATACCCTGAAAAATCCAGGCTATAATGCCAAAGTCAATACAGAAAGATCTTTCAACTTAGGCATTGCAATCCTGAGTACAGTGCCCCCAACATATTTTGAAAATTTTTGGCCTGTTACATTTCTGGGCACACCACCACAAATGTATGAGGGTTTCAGCTTCATAATAGCCTAGTTATATGAAGCTTCACTGAATATTTTGTATTTACATGATTATTTGAAAGATTTGAGATAAAGTACAGGTGAGTGTTAGGCAAGGTGAGAGATCAGATTTATTTTAGCATCCAAATCAAAAGCAGCTGTAACTATCAGCAACACGGAAGCAGTTAAAATACCTTTTCTAGTACAGTGAGAAGGCCTGCTAAACCACTGAGAGAATTTAAAGGGAGAAGAGGTGATGATTAAGCAGATAAACATTTAGATTGAGATGCAATGGAGAAGCACGCTGCATTTCAGCTTTGATCTTCCTTGTTCCTATCCCTATAATTATTTTATTACCTATATTTCTTATCCTGTTTTCTATTATTAGCAAAAGTTTATTTGAAAAGAGGGACAGAAGAATTCGTCAGCTCCTGCTGCTTATTGCACACAAAGTTTTATTCTTATATGGCTGCGTCTACTCTATGAGCTAAGGATAGGATTGCTATTCAGATAAGTATGTGCATATGAGCTGGTAGTGTGGCCAGGGTCATCTAAGTAGCAGTGACATGTCTATCATGCTTAGTACTTATACTTAGAATGCATATTGTGGCTACCGTGCCATGCAGACTTAAACTAACATAAGTCTCTAGGGGCCTGAGCTTATACTGCAGACGTAATGCAGCAGTGATTTCCAAAGATAATAATTGTGATGCCATTAACAAGCATAGAGTCTGGAACTACGGGGGGGTGGGGAGGCTACAAAAGCTTGACTTGAAGTAGTTTCCATCATATACAGGTTTATAGTTGGGTTCAATGGCTCACAACACCCCCACTATACAAATTGTTCCAGCACCCCTCCTAACAGGAAAGTGTTACTTTAGGGTGAGATTAATCTTAGTGGTAATTACATAGCACATTTCATCTGAGAACCATAAAACACTATACGAATATTAACCAATCAAGCCTCATAGCATCTCTAGCACAAAGGATGTAATATCCTATGGATCGGGGGGAATGAGAGCCAGAATTTAAGGATTGGTCCAAGATCATATAGCAAGAGACAGAAATATTGCTCATATTCTCTCTCTCCCTCCCTCCCAGCAAGTAGTACTTCTTTGGATGTTAGTTTAAGAGTAGCATAAATTAGCACTAGGCTTTTTAAATTTGACTATAAAGTGACTCATGGTAATAAATCAATTTTTAAACAAAAAAGCTTGACTTAAATTGTGATCAAACTATGGCATTTTTAAAAACACAAAATCACCTGATTTCCAGCTGATGTAAACTAGCATAAATTTGGTACAACTTAACTTTGCAAATTTACACTGAGAATCTGACCCCAGATGTTTAAATGATGTAAACTTTTTTTTTTTTTTTTTTAAAATGACATGCTGTTGAAATAAACTGCAAACTCAAAAGTCAGGCAAGATAACTACAAATGTAGCTACAGCAGACTTCCAATAATACGGAACCTTTGGGTCATAGGTGGTGCTAGATTATTGGATATTCCAGACTACCACGAGGTACTATAAAATGATATACAGATAGATACACACAGTATACACTGTATATAAAGTGTTTTTAACCCTTTTTATTGTACATACCGGATACAGTAGTGTTTTATTTTTAATCCTTTTCGCTCAGTTCAGCTGCTGCTGCTGCCTTGTGACTCATTTTTTGCTGAAGCTCACTCACTAGGCTCTTGCCATTTTGATACCGGACTATTGGGAGTGTTGTACAATTGGATGCCCAACTATTGGAGTTCTACTGTACATCAGAACACACTTTTGGAATGAATCACAATCTTACAATGTAAGACCTTCATCCTGCAGCCACACTTTTATTTGAGTACGTCTTTAGTAAGTAGTGTGTGTGTGTGTGTGTGTGTGTTGGAGGGGGAAGGTAGAGGGAATAGAGAGCTTAAACAGTTTGCACCTCCAGGAATCATTTGTCATCTGGTAACTTCCATCTAATATTAAAGTATAAAAAAAGAGAGAGTATGCTAGTCACTGGTTTTCAAATATAGGATGCATTTTCAGCTGCATAGTACATCATACTGTATTGAGAATTTGACTTACTTACATTAACATACATACATACATACAACATAAGTAAACAGACCTATGTTTACCGTAACAAAGAATTTGTCTTGGTTCTATAGCCTTCCTTCTGAATCCCACAGAGATGTTATCAGGTCATATATATATCACCAAAAATGTAGTTTTGTTTTCTCAAAACCTAATACTGACAAATATTGCCATAATTTCCTCCTGTTTAAATCTAAAAACGGTATCCTACCTATACGCACATACAGGCAGCCTTACAACTTTCACATTATAACATAGCGCAGTAAATATAGCATCAAGTGATTAAAATGTTAGAACTTCAATTTTTAAAAATATTTTTCTACCCTGACATTGTCCCCTTAGGTTTTTAATTTGTTTATCTTTCTAAACTAATAATGAAACATGTCCTTTTAACCTGAGGTCTTCACTCTTAACAATTCTCAGCAACATAACACTTACATCGTTTTAGGTCCCTGCATTACATCTTAAAGTCTTAGTAAAGATCCATCATCCTCAAACAGTCATACGAAGAACCACTGAAAATTTAGTGCAACTTCTGTATTTCTTCTCAATCCCACATTGTTCTTTGTTACCAATACATGGTGCTAATTCTGCACTTATAAACACATGCAAAATTCCCCAATGACAATACTAACCTGTATTTTGTCCTTTATAATATTAGCCCTTTCTTTTAGTAATGGAACAATTAATATTTGATATTAAACCGGAGAGGCAAACTCTACTCATAAAATTAGATTATTAGCAAAAACAACAATTAGAAAATTTAGGGAAGTTTTAAGTGTGACACTTCAGAGCAAACACTCCAGAGAGATGAAAAGGGCAAGTCACATGCATGTTAGATCTGTTCAGTTTACGGACCCAATTTAGCAGCGCAAATAAGCATATTCTTAGTTGTAGAGGAATTTAAGTCCTTTGCTGGAACAGGGACTGTTTGAAACTCCTACATTCTTCAGGGCATGTACTCCTGTGAATCAGCTCTGACAAGAGAGCATAGCAAGTGTATCACAGATTTAAAAGACTTAGTCTGAGCCAGTCTTAGGTACTCCTTAGACTTTATGGGACAATTTTCACTTACCAGATCTGATTGAATAATATCTCAGTGTTTGTTCCAGTTTCCCTGTATCAAAGAAAGTTCTCAGACAAACCACATATTACCTGTCCTATCATCTTAAGCCCGCGTTTCCCTGGTTGTCCCATCTCCATTAAAAAAAAAAAACAAAACAAAACAAAAAGCCTACACCAATACACAAAAACAAGACAAAACAAAAACAAATACATCACTTATTTGATATTATAGCTACTGTGAGTCTACTCACCACATAATCCTAAACTATGATTATTGGTCATAGGGCCATTGTTTATTATGTAAATGACTCATGAGAATTACTGGAATTCTTACAAATACCAAGTAAAAGAGGAGTGAACATTTAATGTCAAGCACTAATTAGATACTAGATATGCCTCAGTTGGGATAATCATCATTAGGGAAGTGCTATTCCATTGTGCTAATCAATCTGAGAATACAAGTAAACATTTAAAATGAATACATTCTGTTTATAGAGTTATTCAGTGCTGAGCTTGTGTACTGTGAATAATACAATAGAATTTGTGTAGAGGTTACTGAGACATAGATTATAGAAATGCAGTTCATATTAATTTAAAAATTTGCAGTAGGTAGGCACTTTTAATTTTTTTTAAGAGGCCTAAGTTGTTCAGTGGCAGTTTATATGTAGTTGCTTTGGAACATGACATCAAACTGAACATATAGTTGATTCTAAATACAGTTCTACATTAGTATCGAAGTCTGGAGTGAAAGCCTGTCTTAACTGAAATAAAGGGACTTCAGTAAGATCAAGATTTCATCTTGGTCTTTACATTTTCAGTCGGTTGTTATGGCATAGCCAAAATGAGGCCTTGCTATTGGCAACACAGCAGACACTTAATTCAAGATACCAAACTGCAAGCAGTTAGAGATGTTTTTGTTTCTTAAATAAAAATAAAGCAAATCTTATTGTAGAAATCATAGCAAAGGAGGCTTTTTTGTTATTTAATGTTGTCCTTAATTGACTATGATATATTGAACTTTCACTGTCGAGAAACAAGCCTCAGAATCAGAGATATGCATGCTGTAGATTTAAAAGGAAAGGCAGAGTAGTGTTTCAGTGCCTAAGAACACAGAACAAGGCATGTTTACAAACAGCAATAGACATTGTAGATAAATAATAATAGTATATAGTCACTCAAAATGAGTGACTAGACAGTTTTGGATTTCAAAATAAGTGTCCTTAGAAGTCTGAGATAAAAAAAGAAAGTCAGCCTGAGTTAAGAATAGTAATATTTTCTAAAAGCCCTTGAAACATGTATCATGCTCTTCAAAAGATACTGGCTTGTAGCTAGATAGTCACATGTTCAATGTGTGGAAGGCATAGAATAATAATAATAAAAAACAGGTGTGCAGTATGTAAAGCTGTTAAATTTAGTAGTTTGCCTGTAATAGCTGCCAAAAAGACTGCTGGTATTTTGGCACGCGCACTGCTTCCATTACTGAGGGAAAAAGAGAGAAAATTGGCC